ACAGTAAATAATTTTCAAATATGTATGTTATTATTCATCATACATTTACATGAGGAAGAGCAGCATTTCACTCCTTTAACTAACCATCTTTTGGGCCAGTCCCCCTTTTCTCCTCTCAAAGATCCATCCCAGTTGTATATTTCTTTAGTTATAATGTTGAGAAAGAGCTGCAGCAATATGAACCTTACCTTCTATAACTTCCAGGGCAGTGGCCAGCCAGCATACCGTAACAAGATGCAGGGTAAGAGACCACCTGAGGAGACACATCAGTGACTTAAACTGCACTTAAGGTTTTGACTTCAAAACATAAAGCATGGTTGTAAAAATGTATTTAAAAAAGCTGCTCAGAGGAAAAAAAGTCTACTCAAGTGTACTCTGAGGTGTAAAAGGAATGTTAATAAAGTCAGTGGCATTTCAGTAAGTTTTCTTTACAAGCAAAAATAAAAATAAAAATGTGGAGGTAGTACTTAAATTGCCATACCCTTGAAACATTGTAGCTATTCAATGAATAAAAATCCAGATTTTGCAGTGAACCCAAAGTACACATGTGCGATAAAAGTCCGCAAACTCTGTGGTCCCTTCATACACCATGAAGACCTGAAGTCAGGCTGCTGTGCTTCTCTCTCTCTCTCTCTGTGTCTCAATACAAAGACCCTTTCAGTTCTGAGCTGAGTGACTCTCAGGCTTACGAAGTTGAGAAATCCGACTCCCTTGGGGGAAAAAAAATCCCCCCCTTACTCATTCAGACGATGCTCTCTTCTAACCTTATGCTGCTCGAGCCAATTTGCTTTCAGTAATGAAAATATGATGTCTGTGCATACATTTATGGCTGTCGTTGTCAGGTCTGCTCGGTGCTTCCTGCCTGGTGCTGAGGCCGTCTCTCCGTCTGTCTTGGAGCTCCATGCTACCTCTCGAACTAGGTGCTGCAGATGCAGAAAGTGTCCTACCCCGCCAACTCCCACTGCCCAGAGTCCTGTGGTTGATGTCCTCTTGACAGTAGCTGGTCCTCAGTGTGCCGATGGAGATGTCTCCGCTGAAGATTACCTTCTTCAGGGCGCTGACAGAAGTGTGCCCACCGTGGTTCCACCTGCTCCGTGTGTCGTTGAAAGCACTCCTCAAGAGCTCCAGCAGCCTCCGCCTGTTCCCCGGCTTGGTCACAATAACATCCCCATTGACTTCAAGGACCCCAGGTGTGCTGATGACAATGTCCCTGCCGGGGCCAGAGGTCTTCAGCAAGCTGACGACAAGATGCCAGCCGGGGCTTCAGTTCCTGTTCCTGAGCGGGTTGGCTGGACCACTGATGCAGTCTCTATTCCTGCCCCTTGGCCTGACAACCCTGACGCCCCCACTGAGACTGAAAACCCTAGGTGTGCTGACGAGAGTGTCCCCGCCAAGGTCCCAGGTCCTCAGTGGGCTGACAGGGTTTCTGCTCCTGATGTGGTGCACATTGGTGGGGCCTCCAACACCACCTCTATTCCTGTTCTCTAGTGGGTCGCTGAGGTTGATGCCACTCTTGTTCCTGCTCCCCAGAGGGTCAATGACGCCACTCTACTCCCAACTCTCAAGGGGGTCGCCAACAACGACACCTCTGTGGCGGGGTGACATTTACTCGGCCCTACCACCTATCCGGTGCTGTAGAGGGTCCCCAGATCAGCTGCCTATTCATCCTCTGGAACGGCTTCTTGGATCCTCTGCATGGCTTCGAGGCCATCCTCCAAAGCACCTTTTCTTCATCCTTGTTCGCCGCTCATGGGTCATCCCCAGGGTGCCTGTGTTTTTCTTTTGGTACTGACTGCACCACATCTGGACTATGGACCTTATTTTTGTACATGTTTTTGTGTCTGGTGCCCACGTGCACCTTGTCTTTTGTATGAAATATGTCACATGGGGACTCTAGAGCTTGATTTGTTTTGTGGCATGGGTTGGTACGTTGTATGCGTGTACAAGCCAGTCACGTTGTGACAAGTTGACATTAGTGGCTTCATTCATGTTTTCAGCAGGTAAGTTTCTATTGTTTTTGGTTAGCCATGCTGCTAACGTAGCCTATTCTACAAAGAACACCAATTTCTGCCACCAGTGTAAATAAAAAAAAAAAACACTGTTTAACATCCAATACCCTAACTATCAATAACGCATGGTGTATCATTACAGTGCATTTCTAACTGTGGTCCAAATTCAAGAATGAATAGCAGTGTGGCCCAAAAACAAGAGTGATTAGCAGTGAATGTTCATGCTAACAAGGTAAACAAAAGAGTGTTCTTCCCCATTGGTGTCCACGTTCTGCCAATTCCCCATAAGTGATTTGTCATTCCGCCTGTGATTTGCTGGATGATGTCGCTGTCAGGTGTGGCAAGTGAAACTAGATCCAGCTTTTTCACAGCACTGGGCTGTGTCATTTTGCGTGAGCGCCCTGCAGTGCTCAAAAGCCGGAGGCAGTTGTGGTGGAAATTACAACCTGAATAATTTAATGCAAAGGTAAAAAATTCAAAAGCTAACGTTACAGTAGCTTGCCAATGATGCTGACATATACATGTTAGCCAGCAATGGTACTTATGTGTGTAGAAGGAAGAAAGCCACATCTGCATCAAATTTTAGTCTTTTTTAATGCTCTCCATCTCCGACATGCCAAACCAATGTTAACCCTGGTTTTGCCTCGTTCTTAGTCACTCTTTCTGTGCTACAGAACATGACCTCCTGGGTCTAACAGGTCCACTACTGTCCTGAGTTGTACCTGCACAGGGAGCCTCCACAGTCCGTCTTTGAAAAGAACCATACTGGTTTGAAAATGCATCTTACAACCTCCGATCAGCAGGGGTGTGGAAGAAGTGAGGTGCAAATTTTAACAACAGTGGCCACAGAGGACAAGAAATAAACACAAGGCCTGAAGATAGCAGAGTGGGGTGGGCAGGTGCAGATTAGTACAACACTGCTAGGCAATTTTTTTTACTCGTTTATCTGAAATTGTGCTAAATATCAGTTAATGCAGGTTTAAGTGAACTTACACAACGGCAAATATCTTGCAAAACGAATGATAAAAGCAAACCAAAAAACTAAACAAAAAACATACAAAAATTTATACGGTGACACTAGTGGTCATTTTGTTGTCTTTGTGGATCCTGGCCAGAAGACAAGACTATCACTAAGGAATCAATAGTGTAAAATTAGTTTCTGAATCTCAACACAAGAAAGCCTGTCACAGTGATCAGAGAATTGTATTGGGTATGCTGTTGTTGTTCCGCGCATGCTGACTTAACTAACCATTCTGTGGGACAAACAGGAAGCCATTTATCCTAGACCAAGTTTCCCAACAGCTTCTTAATGCACACAGTCGTCTACCTGCTGTAAAAAAATCACTCAAAGTCTAAAGAGTCTGTTGTAAAGTATAAGATTTCTTATACCTCAATAGCATCTGTTTCTGGTTTAGATCCTCTATAGCTTCTCCTTGCCTGGGGCTTGCTTCATCCCACCTTTCTCTCTGACCTACTCAGAGATACAGTATATTAATGTAGGTTTCTAAAAATTTGATAAATAAATAAAAATGACCTCACATGACAAATGCAAGTCATACTGACTCCTTCAGGTTCAAGATTGACATCCTTCATTTCATGACACATTAAAAAAAAAACTCTACATTATTTCACAGCTAAGGACTCTGCTGGTGACCCCTCTTGCCTGCTGTCAAGGCCATCATCCTTGCTCAGTCTGGACAGCCGTCCAAGCAATAAACTGATAAGCTTTTTTCTCTCTCATGCCTGCTTTAAGGCTACTGGGGTCATCTCCCCATGAGCCTTCTCTGACTGTATCCCCATTGTGAGCCTTGTATACATTAAAATAAAGCAAATAAAAGCAAAATAAAGCACATCTAGTAAACGAGAACCGATAAAGCAAATTAATAAAGCTAACTCATTTCCATCTCTCGTCTTAGTGTTGCCTCCCTAGCACACTACACCATAGAAAAGGACACTGGAAATGACAGAATGGTAGAACATCTGTAGCAGCTTCTTTCAGATGGACCCTAGCCTCTTCAGAAAGTACAGCTGGCTACGTCACTTCCTGTGCAGTTCATCTATGTTGGTGGACCAGTCCAGTTTTTCATCCAGTTGCAGACCAATGTAGGTCTGGACTACCTCCACACGGGCCCCCTCAGTGGACACCAGCTTCAGGTGAAGTTTGGGTCTCTGGAAGTGTGGAGGCATATCTTTGGTTGTGGAGGTGTTAATATGTAGGTGGTTAGACATGGCACAAAGTCCTTCACCAGGCTCCTATACTCATCCTCCTGTTTATCCCTGACACACTTCACAATTGAAGTGTCATCAGAAAGCTCTTCTGAGTTGTATTTGAAGTTTCCAGCTACATTTTTTACACTATTTAAATTTGTGCACAATTATTACACTGTCAAAGTAAAATAAGTGCAGATCTGTGGTTGTAAACAAAACAGGATCCAAACCCATCTCAAATAAAATTTAACAGGGAATAAATCACCTATTATTCAAGCTATTGAGACTTAGAGGTGAGTGTTACACTATAACATTCACAGCCAGTGGTCAGCACTGTTGCCTCCTGCTCAGAAGAAGGGTTCATAATCCACATTGGTACATGCATATACTGAAATTTATATTTCTTTTTTTTTTTTTTTTAGCTTTTAAGGCAGTTTCTTAATTATCACACTGCAAAATAAAATAAATGCATATTTGTAGTGGTAACATGATTTAATTTAAAAAGTACTAAGAGTTAGCCAACATGAGAACTTAGGCCCTGAAGTCTTCTTCTTTCTTCTTATCTCCTTGGATTCCTCGTGGAACAAAGGGCCTCACACGCTACAGAAACCAAAACAACAGAAGAATCCAACCCTGAAGTAGTAAAGGTATTTCCTGAGCTATTCCACCTAATCTGGAGGAGGAAGCAGAACAAGGTTCTCATAAGCTATATATCTTAAAGTGGTACTGATGCTTCAGTAACTGAAAGTACAAGACATGCACAGAGCAGACATATAGGCTGTGGCCAACAAAGAAAAGTAGTTTAATTATTGTTGCAGGTGACCCTTTAGCTTGTCAGGCTGAAAGCTAATGCACTTACAGTAATACATGGCAATAGCTGCTCCAAACTAGACCCCCTTATAAGACTGTGTGTTTAACAATACTTGGTCTTCACTTGGTCTCAGGTTAGGTGGTTTTGACTACAACACTATCTGCTATGCTACAGCTACTGTCAGCTATGTCAGCATTTCTTTTTAAAATTAACTGGCTCATTGGCAACTACCAAAATCGGTGGAATGCTTAAAAAACAAAGCAAACAACAAAACATATAGTTCATGTCGTTTCCTCCAACAAGTGCCTAAAGCAGTAGCAAACATGATAAATTGAAACGACCTCTTTTAGAAACAAATTATTTATCTGAGCAAAAAACATGCTGTGGCTGCGGCAGACTCTCCTGTGCTTCACAGCGTCCTCCAACCAGCACTCTTCTTCAGACAGTGTGAGAAGAGAGTACTGTACCTCCTCAGACATCTTTGTCCATGTCACACCTTGAAGCCATTCATTTAAATTCCTCCCCCCCACTTCCATCTGCCCCCCAGCATTCTCACTGTTCAACCATGTTTTCTTCCAGTGTCTTTCTAAAGAATTAGGGATATCTTGGTGCTAGGAGTAGATGGTAATGACCTCCCGACCTCCTCCACGAACCAACAGGACACGATCTAAGCCTTCCATCAGAACCTCCAAAAACTCCATATCTGAGAAACACATTCTAGTTAAGGACTAAGGCAACCTTTCACCACTTCCAACCACTCCGCCATGTGCCAGTAAGTTTTTTTTTTTTTTTTGGTACATTTTATTTCCAACATCAAAATCTTAATGCTGTTTCAGTGCCTCAAATCATGGTGGCGAAATGCTAACATTTATTTAATTCACTGGTTTATTTGTAATCAGATTTAAATATAGTGGTGGATGTTTACTGAACCTGTTGCAAATTACCATCTGAAACACAAAATATTCTGACTGCAATTTTTCAGTTTAGCACAGTATTTACCAATACCGATGGTGTAAATGAGCACAGCTGCACCACTGTTAATTTGAATGTAATTTGGTTTATGGTGCTTCTATTGTGCAAGTGTGGACCGAAAGGGAGCTTAGAAGAAAGTGCATGTCTACTGCTACTGAACTTGAGTATTGGTTTGGTAACATATTTCTAAACTGCAATCACATAGCCGTCTGCAACCAAATTTTATTTCATTTGGTTAAGTTATTAAACTGTGGTGTAACCTGAAATGCTGTAAAAGTCCCCAATGCTTTCTCTGGCATCCCAAACAGAGAGATGTGATTTACAAACATCCACTCCTTCCTCAAATGTGTAAACACTGACATAGCCTCAAATCAGGATAAGGCTAATCACCGTTATTTGCCAAGTATGTTACACACACAAGGGACTTGTTTCCGCTACAGAACCAAGGCGGCCATCTGCACCGCCGATGGCTCTAACCATCGGGGGCAACATGGGGGTTCAGTGTCTTGTCCAAAGACACTTTGACATGTGGACCTAGGATCAGACAACTAAGCCATATTTTGCCCCAGTACTTCAACGCACTTCAGGATAAGAGCACCCTGACCCAGATTCAGACTTTTGAAAATGACAAATTCCTGAATATCAGTGTTTTAATACTACCTATCCACACCTAGTGGATATAAAGAATAACATAAGGAAGACAGACAGTATAACTAGCCATTTTGCTCAAATGAGACTGAGTGGTTGCGCAGTGCAAGATGTTACGGTCCACAGTTACTCATCCTGCTCTTTGCTTTTGAACTACCCAAAATCCAACTCTGATCCACTCAGTTAGGGATTACTAGTTCTGAAGTCCTAGGCCCTGATTATCTGGAAAAGGATACAGTTCTCATCCCCTTTCTTGTTCTTCGGTGGGCCTGGCATGTTGAGTAAGACCAAGTGTGAGTTACGGGATTTCTTGACGACCACTTCATTGAGCTTCACAGCTGTATGCATCCTCCTTACATTGGACTGGTTGCTACATTAAACCAGAGATGTACATTATTGTATTTTAATATACAGTATAACATTAAGTACAGAAAGCACAGTCGGGGCGATGAGGAATGTGAAGAAGCATGCAGGTGTTTATATGACTTCTGCACTTGACGCTCGTGCAAACTGGACTGGTGAGCTACTTTCTCCACATGCATAGCGGCAGAGCTGATTCTTTCACACGTGCACATAGAGAGTTCATGCACATGCAAACAAAAAGTGAGAAATAAAGTGACTTACAGATTCTCCCACTCACTAGAGGAAAAGACCAAAAAGAAGAACAAATCCAAGATTTAAGAGCTGCTTCTCTCTGAAATTTTGAGCTACTAAGATGATTTTATTGTCTCAGGCTCTTCTTGGATTTTGTTGATATTGTAGAGAAGATTAGCACTCCTCTGCCAAAGAAATTACATTACAGATATGCAAGGAAGTTACTGAATGCACTTAAGGGAAAAGCCCTTGATTAATATAATAGGATAAGTGCTAAAATTTTTAAGAGGGAGCAATTCAGTAGCTTTTTAGCTATTCACAGCATTTTGGTTGTTAGCACTACAAATGTACGACTAACTCAGTGTAGGACAATGGAAACAGGTATGAATGCATACATATAACATAGGTAATAACAATAATAATAAAAGTAAATACCTTTACAATAAAAAAAAATTCAAGTCATTGTTTTTGTTTAATACAGACATCATATTCGATGGGTTAGGCTCAGGGAGTGTATCTCTGTACAATTTATGCAGGAGAACTGGATCTACTTACGGTTTCATATTAAGCATATCTTTAATTGCCATGCCTTCTTTGTGCCTGTTCCTCTCATTGACCAGTTTGTCTTTGGTCCAGGTCATATGGACATGATCTGGTGTGGGGCTTGCAGCTTTGTCATTCATTGCAGAATGAGATGCTGTGTTGCGGTCATGGATCAGCTGGGCCTAACAAAGGACAAGAAGACAGTTTGGCATGTTAGTCTCATCATCTCAATCATTTTCTAATGAATAAAACATAAGATGCAGATAAGAATCTCTGAGGAAGTGGACATAATGGTTAGTAGTCCTGGTTGGAAATACTGAATGTGAGCGTCCACTGCTGGGATGCACATTAAAAGACACTGATTGAAGAGTTTGTCCTCCTCTAGTGGCAGCTCTTGGTTCTGGGTTTCTTCCTAGACAACAGCTGCAGCACGTTGATGTATGGTTAATGGACTTCTTTTTTGTATAGTGCTTTTCTATGCACTGAAGCATAAACAAGGTCTTAAAACTATTTGTCTGTTCACCCATTCACCCACACAAGCATTCACAAACCGGTGATATCACCGGGAACAACTTGGGGTTCAGTGTCTTGCTTAAGGACACTTCGACACGTGGACTGGATACATGGACCAGGGACCAAACCTCCAACTTATGGTTAGGAAATGACCCGATCTACGTCCTGAGCCACAGGGGGGAGAGAATGGGGAAAACAACAAACTCATGAACTAGTGCTAAATAAAGAAGACGGTGCCATCCTCAGAGCAAGAAAAGTAAATTCAGCTTCTGTTAACAACACTGTCTGAGTAATGTAGTCGTTATAAATGGATGGAACAATGGCAGCATGGTTGGCTACTACAAACTGTTTGGTGGCTACCTTATCCTCTGGTTTGCACGGGGTGTTGTGGGAAGGGGCACCTGATGTCTTCTTCCTCTTTATGGAGCCCCGCAATACATCTGTGATGCTCTGAATCTGAGCCAGTTGTCCAATCATAATGCAAAGTTGGGGAAGAGTTCAAAGGTCAACAACAGCAGAACAGGATACTGTGGTGTATGTTTGTAATATCACTTTTAAATTTTAATCTAAATGTTTTTAAATGGAATACATTTTTCAAGTGTCATAGCCATCTTCTTATAGTTTTTACATAAACATTTACCCAAAATGTTTGTGTATTTTACTGTGTTGTTGACAGTGCTTAAGTGTACCTTGGTAACACATTGAATTTACTTCTGCTTCATTGCCATTATATTTGCATACAATACAATTTTGTTACTCCTACTGTAGATCTTGCATCCTGGTTAATTTGCATCATGCAACTCATTATAAATTTATAAAATGTATAATGTTTACATACAATATCTTTGTCCTTATAAGGTTTGTGTACTGACATGTTGGTCTCAGGCAACAAGTTTTTTGTGTGTTTTTTTTTACATTCCACAAGAACATGTTACTGGGTGAGTGTTACTATACCTCTCTCTCCCTTTCAATGCGAGACAGCTGCATCTGTTTCAGCATTTGGGATCTCTGCTCCATCACCAGTGTCTTCTCATATGTGAACGCTGAGATGTCATTGTCATGCTGGAGGGACAAACAGATCATTAGTAAATCCAGTATCAGTTATTTTAAAAATACTGTCATATAATTCATTAGCTGTAGCTGATGTTTTTGTCCAAAGTGGTTTAAAATGAACCCAAACTCTTGCAACATGCTTGATAAAACTACATGGATCAGCTGTAATTGCTTGCATAGACTAAATATATTCTTTACTTATTACATGCAAACTGAATGAATAAGTGCAAATGGTCTCACCATCTCCACCACCTCCACTACTGCATCTAGGCGTAGATGGTAGAGAAACATCTGGAGATCTTTCTTCATCTGTATGGAGTTGTCATTCATCTGGGCCACTGTGAAGATTCGCATTTTGCATTTCCTCCACACCTACAGCATTAATGGCAGTTACCGGTTGTACACATTTAGGCTGCTAGTAGAAGGCTACCAAATCCTATCTGATCTTGTGAGAGGTAAAAGAGCACTTTGGCCAGATGTCTGGCCATAGAAGAAGATTCCCTTTTGACATGCAGTTAAGGGGAAATTTTATTTTAATCTTAATTTTATTAGTTGAAAATATTAATTCTACTTTAGATTTTAAAAGGGCCTTTGGCCTAACCATGGTTCTAGTCAGTAATTATAACAGCAAGTCTGTATTGTTCCGTGATGTTTCATAATATAATCCTAAAATATCAAAAACAAGTTGTGACAAGTTTTAATTATGCATTTTTTTGCTTAAGTTCACAAAAAACAAATAAGTAAAAAGAGAAATACAAACAAATATAGACACAAACCTTATGTTGACTAAGTAGAAAGGGCAGCAGCACGAGCAGTCCACCATCGTGTACAATCCACCACACATCAATGGTTCCCACTTTCAGACGTTCCTGATTAGCAGGGAAGTGGTCGATGTTCTTAGCAACCAGCAGAGCCAAATGTGCTGCCGTTGTCTCTCTCACTGTCTCTGGAAAAGGAGAGATGTCAGTAAGAGGTGAACTTTTGGATTAGAAATACTAAATACTTTCACTGAAACCTTGGCTAAACTGATAAGTCAATAAAATTGTTAGAAACTTACCTATTTGAAATATAAGAAATCTTTCCTTGCAAAATAAATTAAAATGTTAGTAAAATGTATGAAATTCATATAATAATAGTATATATACAGTATACCAACTTCTTTCAATGCCATTTTTTTAGCACTGGAGAGTTAAATGAATTTTTTCAAAGGTGAGACCAAAGAACTGAAATGAAAATGAAGTCATTGTATTTTGTCATGCACTTCCTCTGCGTAGTTTACCTATGAAGTTCCTCCTTGCAGAGGAGTCTCCGGCTTGTCTCCAACCAGCTGGCCAGGCCATCAGGACAGCATTGTGTTTCATTCCTCCCAGTCCTGCTGACTGGATGAGCAGGGAGAAACCATCACGCAGGTTGGATGACACCACCACATGGGAAAAGCCCTTGGTTCTCTCTGCAGTCATAGCAGCTTTCAAGTTCTGCAGGAAGCACATGCAGTGGAAAGAGGGAGACAGAAGCAGAGCAGTAAAGGTTTACAACACACACATGTTGTGTTTCCATCACTGTAGGGGACATTACATTGACTTACATTCATTTCCTGGAGACTTACTCTCACCCTAACATTAAAACTAAGTCATCACTCTAAAATGTAATGATTTAAATTTTGAACATTGAGTCCCAACAGTGTGATTGTAAACAGACTGACGTCCCCACAACATCCTGTGGGATTAAACCAGCACATAGTGAACTGTGTCCTCTGTGACAGAACACCTGGTGAAAATATTAAAAAGACTGTTAAATATTAAAAAGACTCAGATTGTGCCATATGATGAATTGACTGCCTGTGTACGATGTTGGAACCTCTTGTTCAAGATTACTTTGACAACAAAGTTTTTAAATGTGTAATTTATTTCATCAGTGGTTTATAAATATGTGCTATGGCTGTTAAAATACCCATTTTTCATTTCAAGTCCAACTTGAGGTGAAGTCAATGTCACAGATATCAAAGTTAAATCATAAGTTACCAGACTGCAGTGCAGTAGCACACATCATTATGTTAATCAATTTATAGCTTTCAAAATACTTTACATATACAGTATACCCATTTATTGAGATCATATCACGGTAACAGATTCATAACATACAAAGTAAATGGTTAAATGTGTATATTATATTATGCCTGTAAACTAGGATACAGCCAGCTGGTGTTTTCAAGCTTAATGTAATTTCTTCTGTTGCATTCAAACAGCACTGAACAATGAGTTTCCCTAAAAAAGTCACTGCTTTGAGTTTCATTTTAGAGTTTGTAAAGGTTGCATGTTTATGCAATATCTCCCCCCATGGTTTACTGTCCTAGAATGAGTTGTTTTACAGTAATGAATTCAACATGAGAGACTGTCTGAATAGAAGCTGTCCCCAATTCTCTCCCTAATGAAAATAGTTGTAGCTTTAAACCCTGGAGAATACTAGATAGGACTAAACAAGAAAAGGAAGATATTCAAACACTGGACAAACCTGCTCTCCAGTCTTGGTGTCATTTCCCCGGGTCATGTAGGTTCCCTCAAGGACTGAACAGACAATGGTCAGTCCCTTCCCTGCTTTGAGTTGCGAGGTGAATGACAGGAGACGAGGGTGTTTTACCGCCAGGTCTGAGTCCAGCTTACACAACACCAACAGCTGAGGTCTGAAGAAAGACAAAAATACAAGTCAAAACTGATTGCAAAATAAGCACTAATAATTAAAACAAATAATGGGGGAGATCTAAAGTATGGATTTCTTCATACTTAATTATTAGTCATTAGAAATTTCAAAGAATAACTTTAGATTTTTTTTTTTCCCTTCCTGTTTTGACTGGATTAGGAGACTGAGGAAAAAAAAGTCCAAGTTCTCTGAGCCAAAGCCGACATCCTTAAATAGCTCTACTTATTTTATATTACTTTAAATTTTTATTTTTTATTTATTTTATTGACACAGGGAAAATACAAACACAGATATCCACAGAAAGACAAACAAATATATGGTTCATAAGCCCATTGTCTAAACTGGCCCTTCAGTTCTCACTGCTCCTACAGAATACAACACATGCAAAATGCAATACAAATGCTATAGAACAACTGTGTCAGAAGAAGAAGAAAAGAATTAATACCACTGTTTTAAAAAGGAAAATGCTATAGAATGACTGTGAGCCTGGCTTCAATTTTATCATAACATTAAGCATGTTTCCACTCAGCATATTCTGCCTCATTGTTTTGTAATCTGCTTCTGCCATCCATTCTTTCTTGGTTGACATGTTTTATTCAGTTCAGTTATTTATCATTAACTTTTTTGTGACCATACGCAGTGAGAGAAAAGTGTTTTTGATTTATGAAAAAACAATGTTGTGCTCAAAATGTACACAAAAGGTAGCTCTTTATTTGTGAAAAGCAGCAAATCCACACATTTAAAACACTGGAATCAAGAAATCTGTTCCAGTTGTGTTTGATATGCAACAAATGAAGGAAATCACCACACATAAACACGCTTACCTCCAGTTTTTGGTGTGTGGCGGTGCTTCCTCCAGCCGGATAAGAGCGTAGCGTGCCGCGTTTAAGGACAGACCTCGGATACCATCTCCCCACTCCTTCATTGCCCTGAAACCAGAAGGTCCAAGTCAGGAAGTTTCACTTCTTTTTGCAACACTTTACATGGATTTTAAGGAATGATATTTTCATGGACAGAACGTAAGATGTCCTGATACTGAACCAACTGTCTTTGATTAAATAGTGAGATCAAATCTGATCTCCTGGGTGTTAAGGTATGGCAGTCACCACTGTAACCAGGGTCGAAATTAACACCCACCATTCTACCAAAATTATTTTGGCAGGTACTACCATCAAACTCCAAACTCACTCCATGATTTTCAGTGGTGCAGAAATAATGTAAATACAATCATAATTTCATTGTTTTCTTCTGTGACATCTAAATCAATACATACATACAGTATATACATAAACAAATAAATAAAAAATGTGATATAGTGCATGTGTAATAGACAGATATCTGTAGATATCTAGAAATCAGAGTGTACATATTTTGGCTTAGATACTACCGATAATGTAACGTTTCATTGATTTCATGACCTGAAACCCACAGACTCACCCCCTGTACTCAATGTACTTGTAGATACAGCCAGCTATCATCATGGCAACCAGGGCGTAGTACCAGGAGGAGATAAACATGAGTGAGAGACACAGACTCATTCCTAAGAAGGACAGGGACCTACAGGATACACACACATATACACACACTGTTGCTAGTTTAAAGAGCAGAATATGTGAGTCCAAACACAGTAAGTACTGATCTCACCAGTGATAGAACTTGAAACGAGGTCTCCAGTTGGGGGTACGGAGCAAAGTCTGAATAGCACAGGCCAGGTTGACAAACAGATAGCACATCAGGAAGAACCTGACCAGACACATCAATGGGAAAGATAAATCAATACAAAAACAACTAGAATTAACATTCTCCCCATTTGCAGGTGAAAAAAAAAGGCTAGAAACAAAACTATGACTATAAGTATGTGTTGCAGAAAGTGTAGCATTTTTTTTTATTACAGTGTTAAACCATATACATGGAGAGGATGGGGGCCACAGCATCTAACGAAGCGATGAGGATTCCTATCTCACAGATCCCAACTGTCAGGAACAGGGCCCAGGTAGGCTCACCATTATACTTCCCATGACCAAACACCTGAGGACGACGAAGATGCAGAAGAAGAAGGTCTGATACAGTACAAAATTAAATGGCAGAAACATTAAAACAAATACAAACACATCAAGGCCAGACAGTTCAGTAAAATGCCAGCTATAGTTCCACTTTATTATTATTCTATTTGATGTATTATACATACAGTATGTTATATAAAATATGTCAGTACTTTAGTACTAATCGCTTGGAGCATTATAACATGAATCTTACTGTAATGTAGCATAATTAAAATAAATATCATATATGTGATAATTAATTACTTCATTTAATTAATTAATTAGGTCATTTATCAAACAAAAATGTCAGACTAATACCAACTAATCTGAAGACTGTATATATAAACAGTTATTCTAAATTAGTGCAGGGAAATGCTTTCACCACATCTGTTGGATCTCAATGATGTACACAACAGGCCACAGGCAAGAACATTTGTGTATTCTTATTATAATTTTCTCTTACTTTGTGGTCTGTGAGGTTTGCTCAGTGTCTCACCAAGTTTCATAATCTCTCTAACCTGCACAAACCTTTCATAAATCATTTGATTCAGCCTGATGAATGCCACCTGTTGAAGGAGGTGTGTGTTTGTGAGATTTCATCATTAGCATAATCAACACCTCTAAATTTACCATATAAGGTAGTCTGTTTAGCATCTTTTGTTAAAAAACATACAAAAACTGTTATCAAAGAATAAAAAGACCATTTTAATGCCATGAAGCCTCAAGCCCTGTTGTCGCAAACAAATATAGCAGTGTCAGCAGCTTTAAAGGACCCAAAACAAGAAAAAGCCACAGCTATCAACAAAATATTAACAGTGGAGCGCTGTACTGTGGTGGAAATAAAAACCTGACTTGAAGTTAGACTCTAAAAATGTTTTTCTAAAGCAAAGCGAGATGTGACCAATAAAAGAGGAGGTCAAGGGGACAAATCTGTGGCTTTTGCACGAGGATCATCATGTTGTGGTGAGAAACACTGGTTGTCTTTTTTTTTTTTACAAAACAACTCCACTGGGTGCCTTTAAATCAAATATTGGATGTTTTACAGTCAATTCTGTAAAGAGAACTGATCACTCCTTTCACTGTGTAGCAGCTGCAGACTGCCTAAAGTTGAAATGAATGTCTTCAGTTACCCCAAACCAGTTGTTTCATTAGGTTTTAACTGAGGTTAGAAGTTGGTCTGTTTGGACATTTGTATATTGTTTTGCTGTGGCAGAAGTGAACTGGTTAGCAAAACAAACCCCTCAGCACACATAGTCTACTGCAGTAAATCTTGTTAATAAAGACTTATTGTTGTTGCTTCCCCTGCCTTATGTTGTTCAAAGGTCCTGGGCTAATTTAATCAACCTATACATAACAGAGCTGATGTGCCATGTGAAGAAATCCATAAACTCGTTTAAGACCAAACTGAATAAAAACCAGCAGTAATTGTGCATTCTGGTTGTGCTTGGCTATAAAGACATACGGTAACATTTAAAAATCACAAACCTGTAACACTGACCTGTAGGAAGGGAATGATGCCATCCCGAGCAATGGCCTGCAACAGCCGAGGGGCGCCAGTGAGGCTCTGAAGCCCTGCCCCGCTGCAGGAAAAAAATGAACCAATCACAATCACCCAGGGTGACGGCCAGGCCAGAGCACCAATCACTGGCGTCTTCTTTACTGAGAACCCAAACCTGAAACAACCACAAGCAAAAGTCCACTTTACTACTGAAGGTGTGCTTATCTTCTTTCACAATATATTAATAAACAACCACGTTTTATACCACGTGTTTGCCCTGGAGTAATTCACTTTTGAATTACATTAATATTATAATCCAAAGGCTTTATTATAAAGCCGTAGATATTGCTTTCAAACTTTGAACATCTCAACACTAATGAGTCTGTCTACAGAAAACTATATCAAAAGCTTCTGCTTTCCCGTTAGAACCTGTGATGTAGGAAGTATATTAAAAATTCCCTTACTTGTCTCTCAGCACCACACCTTCAATACATGCTCCGAACAAGATCACACAAGAGATGTCTGTCCACGAAGTTAAAATAAATATACTTGCACTGTGGATTTTCTTTGCAGTAACAGCCTGTTCTATGAGACACGAGTGTATAAATAAAAAATCTAACAATCACCACCTCTTGTGCAGTAAAAGTTCTGATGCTTGTATGTGAACACACACTATAGTAATGTGCTGAATACTATCACACACACAGAGAGAAGGATACAGAAGAACGAGGTTGTAAGAATAGCCATTATAGTTCCTACTGGGATTGACCTCTGAGCATCTCTGAGATCACCAGATCTATTGGAACCAGCCATTATACCTGAAAAACACACACACACACACAAAGGAAAAAAGTGGTTATTTAAAAGGTCATAAAAGATCAAGATTTGGGTTTTCACAGAGGCGCTGTATCATCTGTATTGTCTACCTGTGACAGAGGGGAAGTAGATTCCCACCAGCAGAGTGAAGTAGGTGGTGATGTCATTGAAGACATATGGATTATAGATGTCTTTGGAGGACTCCTGGGCTGGTGCTGAAGGCTGTCTTTTCTTCTCTATCATCATACCAGCTGGACCATAGTTGCCCCAGAGGTTGTCTAACAGAAAGACAGACAGAGAGGAAAGCAATAGAAACTGGATGAACATATAGGATTAATCTACTGCAATACATCAAGAAATTTTCATGAAATCTGGTCGTTAGCTTTGAGTTTCTTGCACTGATTTAGCCTGAAAGTGGGACAAGAGGAAATCCTACAGGGCTTTGCCTCAGATTTGTCCCTTGTTTTTCCCCTCACCTTGAATAACCTCTCTCAGAAACCCAGGTATTGCCCGTATTTCTGTCAGGTTGTTTAAAGTGAAGTACTCATCACAGGTTGCGTTGGGATATTTACTGTCACAGAAAAGGGACCAGAGTTCGGTGGCCACAGTGTTGTTCTTCACAACCTCTGTCTTTAGACATGTTTCAAACTTTTCATTTTTTAAGGAGCGGTTCCCCAACAGACAGACACTGTAGGGAGAGAGAAAAGTGGAGTGTGCTTAGATCTGCTGTGGCAAATGGAGCTCAGGTTCTCTGGGAAACAAAGGATTACAACAAATTCCATTTCAGTCTCAGGCAGCAAACCATTTGAGGCATATTCATTTGGGACATATGTTTTTTAAAGCAGTTTTTATGTTATCAGGTTGTCCATGCAGTCTTATGCACGATAAGTACTATATGTTTGTTTCATTCTCATGAACACAATATCTTAAAGCAGTTTTTATGATATCAGGTTGTCCATGCAGTCTTATGCACGATAAGTACTATATGTTTGTCCCATTCTCATGAACACAATATCTCCAGAACACCTTGAGGCAATTTCTTCAAATTTGGCAAAAACGTCCACATGGACTCAAGGATGATCTGATTAATCAGATTTAGATTAAATTAAATTTGTTTCAACCTGGTGTTTATTAGGATAGTATGAGCTGTTATGTCAAAATAGTCAAGGAGTTAAGGAGTATGGCAGTTGAGCATGTAGGATACTTGAGTATTTCAGTAACAATAGTTCACTGTTGAAAATGCTTGCGTGCTAAATGAGACATGGTTATTAGCAACTCACTGAAACTCAGGTGGTTCAATAAGCGTCTTGATGACTCCTGCATAAGTGGCCAGAATCGACAGAACCACACAGGCCAAAAACACTAGAGCCAGTTTGTTCACATACCTGTGGAGAGACGGGGAATAGGTGGGAATGTGCTGGTGTGTTGATATGTACTGGTTTTGTGTGTATGCGGATACTTACTTCACCCCTACAAATACTACCAGTGCCATCAGGACTAGACAGCACGTGCCATAGACACGCATATTGTTGCTCATCGGTGAATCTTCACTTTCATTAAACATTGCTGCTGTTGGAACAATGTACGTCTGGCAGTGACAGCAAAAAGAGAGTGTGTCATTAATTTGCAGCAGAAGTAACTACTGATGTTCTCTTATCTGACAGTGAGACAGTGACATACCAGCAGAATTTCTATGGTGCCCAGTATGTACATGGATCCAGCAAAGGTGGTCCCCAGATAGAAACAGAGACCCACCGCTCCACCAAACTCTGGACCCAAGGATCTGGAGATCATGTAGTACGAGCCACCGGCTTTAGAGGAATTGAATGCTGGTTAGAATCCTACCAAAGTCATTCCTTACACTTTATTTTGTAAAAGTTTAATAACACCAGTAACATTTTTCATAGATTCCAAGCAGTTCCCATGAAGACCACTGATATGTAACTACATGTTTTTAATTGAAATTAAACTGTAACTTTTTTCAGATGTTGGGTGCCCACAGATTGGATCATTGGACCTACTGCCTCTCCACTCAGGCCACTGCTCCCTCCTCTCACCACCTACCTGGTCCCACCAATCCAGAGCCTCCAACTGGTGTCAGGTAATGTGTATAAAAAGCCACCTGGACACACTGCAGTTGTAATATCATCTGAACAGTCTGCCTTTGTGCCTTTTTCTTTTTGACACTAGTTCGAAGATTGTATGAATGTGTAAACTTTGGACATGTTAACTCCTGAGGCACATGCTATAGCAGCTCTGGGAGGGGCCAGACAGTTTTAATTTAAAGGGCCCATGGCATGCTTTTTCTTGTTTTTTGACTTATCTACAGTGTTACGGTGGTGAATTCACATCTTAGACTTGACCTAAAGCTCAAAAAATGAGGTGTACGTATGTTCTAGTATTTCTATGCAGAAGTAACTCGGTTTATACATGTCTCACAAACTCTTGCTCCCAAAACATTTTTCTAACAAAATAAAGTATTACGTGATAGTTTAAGGACCTCCTTGAATGGGCATAAAATCCAGACCGTTGCGCGTTCATGTGAGCTTGCCTGACATCTACAGGTGCCCCCACCATATTATTACATTGTCTTGTTTGTTATGTGTGTTTTCAATGAAACTTATGTTAAAAAAAAGAAAAGACCATTGTACCATTGTAAAAGCGGAATTTTTTGACTGCAGCTGGTTTTGTGGATATGTTTTCCCTCCTGCTACTGCACTGTGACCAGAGGATGTGGAGAAAAATACAGGGCCTGAGGTTACTGCATGTCCAGGAATGTTCATGTATAGGGCCAGTTTTACCTGACCGGGTCTAAACTACAAGCAGCCGGCCAATGGAGCCCCAGCGGTGATGACTGATGAGCTTCATCAAGGCTGGATTCCTCTGGAGCACAGTACCTGTTTGTTTTGACTGCTTTAGGCCAGTGTGTCTGCAGCATGTGATCTGTTAAACCAGTGGTTTAACAACCCATGATGTTATTGTCACTGCCACACTACATGTGGGATCACTACTTTGGTCATGTGGGGAAAGACGCGGTTTGATTTACGAACCTTGGAGCTACTTGAAAGGGAGTGATGTTTCCAATACTGGGTAGGACTTAAGGATAAGTTTAAAAAACACACATTGTATGTCTGTTAATGCCTTGTTTCTGTAACATTAAAGAGAACTGTTGTAAGGTTGAAGAAGTTACTATGTCTGCATTATGCCAGTTAAAATATGGGTTTCTTAATTACCCGCTTTGTTTAGAGTGTTACACATCTCTTTTCATCAGTACATATACAGCTGTTGACCCATCTATTGATGAGAAATTCATATTAACTAATGCTGTTGAGGTTTGTTGTGCTGTCCACTTGCGACACAACACCGGCAACAGGAGTTGTGCTTGTTCACAAACTGTCCTCTTGCTTTAAGGAAGACGCTTTTCAGCTCTCTGATTCTGAAACAATTAAAAACTATTTGGAGTTATGAAGGGTGCCAAGCTAATTAAACATTAAATGGCTGGAGACAAGCAAAATGAGCAGCCATGGGCATTTTGCATGTACTGAACCTTTAATCTTCCAGCCATTGCTTTAATAATAGGTGATATAGTTTGCCTAACAACACTGACATTATGTTGCTTCTCATATCCCTAGACTTGGTGGATCTATTAAATGCAACATTTTTCAATACACAACATTTCATAATGTACCTGGAACAACACCGTTGGTTGCTATGGCACTCATTGATATGGCTGTCAGCAAGGTCTGCAAAAACAAAAGAGGTTTATTGTTTCAAAACATTGTGTTAAAGATGATATATCATATTTAAATGGTGTCAAGCTTGCTCAAAATGTCATATACTGCATGTTTATTGTTTTTTACTAACACTTTTTCCTCATGAAAGTAAAAACTGCAGCTGGTCACTCAGATATGTCCACAGAGTAACAAATATGAAAGCGAAGTTGCAAATTATGAGTCCACACCAATCTGATTCATCAGCCATTATCACGCAAGTCTAGAAAGTCTTCTTTTTAGATCTTGAATACAAAAGAAAAAGGTCTCTAATTTGTACAACTGAAATGACTTGTCTTCTAAGAAAAAACCTAAGACCTCCAAGTCTATCTATTAGTATTTTAAATTACTACTATTATAAATTGTATTGCAGTCATGAGGGAAATCATAATTCTGGAGCACATGTAAAAAAATAAAAAAATAAAAAATCCTTGATTTCCATCTAAGCAGATAACTTTAAAATTCCAAGCAAAATAAAAATTGCTCTATCTGCAAAAGTGAAATAACATATTTAAGAAGGTGATAGGATTTTGATATTATATTGTCATGTTCCCCACCAACTTCCTGCTAGAGACTCTTATTGTGAAAGTGTGAAAGGAACTTCTGGGTTTTCATTATCTCATTCTCTTCAGCTTCACTTCTGCCAACCAGAATCAGAATCTGCTTTATTGGCCAGGTGTGTCGGACACACAAAGAATTTGACTCTGGTACATCAGCTCAGAATCAGTGACTGATTTGAATCACCTGGCTAATTCCTCTCACCTGTAGCCCTTTGTCTCTGACTTACATATACTGCTTTGGTTCTTTGCTCCAGTTACCAGATAATCATCAGGATCCAGTGCCATGCTGTATGTCACTTATCCCTGGACTTGAATTCTGCTTGTTTGATCTTTGTCACCAAACCTGTTATGTGCCTCTCTGACTGCATTAAGTGCTGTCCTGCCATTTCCTGTTACATGTTCTCTGGACCTGAGCCCTGCCTATCTGCAATCTGATCCAAACTCTGCCTGCCTCTGGCGCCTCGTCCGCCTAGTATGTGTCACTCACAGTATTTTCCAGCCATTCCATCGTTCCTGTTTTCTGGTACCTGTTACTTGACCTGTTTTGTCAGTTGGACTTACCACCTGTCTAGCCCCAGCCTGTTCTGCAAGTCCTCAATGGCGTGATTATCCCTGAACTGGGGTTTGACTGTTGTATCTGTATCTATTCATTTGCCTGTTCTCTTGTGTTTTTGTATTCTCAGTGCAGTTTTTTGAGCTGAAGAGGAAAGTATTATTGTGGTTTTTGGTGTCTTGTGCATACTTCTCATTTGTGAGAGATGGCCTACCTGTTTCTAGCTGCTTTGCTTATCAGTCTTTTTAAGTTCTCAGCTCTGTTTATGGCTATCTATTGTGTCTGACCTGTGTACTCTCACTATGGTGTCAATGTCAAAGTAACTATGTATGCTACCCCCCCACCACCACCTGTTTTCATTACTTTGAGCTACTTTGACATTGACAGCTTTTAATTCCAAGGTTGCGTAATGATGCTGTTAGTGTCTATTGTTTGCAGTGCCATAAATCTCAACTTCAGACATATCACTGTAATGGCATATACAGAATGACTAAGAGGATCTATTTGTATTTATTCACATTACTTATCCCTGTAAGGAAGTACATATGTTAAGCTGGCCTGGTTGGCACATACTTACACAGAGGCAGCACATGGAGACAATAGCCAAGGATCCTAGAATTCCTGCCGTACCCACAAGAAAGAGTATCACACCCAGGATGTTCTGCAGGCACGGCAGGTAAACTCCAATAAAGGTTCCCATTTGAGGCATCTGGGAATAGATGAACATGCACACCAGTGAGAATCAGAGGTGAAAGGGAAGGAAGACAGATTTCTGTCTTTAAATAAAATGCATGCCCTTGTTTTTGTCAGAGAAGATCCCTAATGTTCTTTCGGTGTAAAAGATGAGATCAAAATTTACTCGAGTCCTTGTTCTAAGCAAAGGTGCATCAAAAAGTTTGACCCATGTTAACATGAGACCACAGCAGCTGGAGTCAAACCATTAAGTTGTTTTTTTTAAGGTTTATTTAGCCTTTGAGATGTTGGTTTTTGTTTTAGATGCTAATGCATTCTGTAATTTTCTCACTGATTTCAAAACGATTAGTCTACAGTAAAATGTATTTAAAGTTAGACTGCAACACTTTTCCCCTTAAAGATTTCTGAAAATGAATTAGGAATCAACAGCTAGTATTTTCCAGTACCACTATTTAGTTGTATTGAATCAATAATGTATTTATATGGATGAGTTCAAATTTTGCAGTAGAGCAATATAGGACTGATCGAACAAAGGGAATAAAACAGAAGTGGAAAAGAAACACACCTGAAGTCTTTAAATCTGCATTCAATGGGTGTGACAGTGATAGTCCACCTAGAAAACTGTGCAGACTAGGGAGACATGACGATGCAGGACTTACTGTTTGCTTAGGAGTCCTTTAAATACCATATTGAAACCTGAAATTGGTGCCTAAAGCAAAACCACAGGTTGCCTGGAAATTAAGACTGACAGTCTGTACTACAGATTACACACCTGCAGGCTCAAAAGTTTAAATTGTATCTAAATTTTCACTGGCTCACTAAAGAAGCCCTTACCATGACGGTGACTGTCCTGGTTCCATCGGCATTCTCTGCCTCCTCATGCTCTCGAACGCCCTGGGTCAGGTTGGTGTAGTTGGCCAGCTTGTTGAGAAGTGATGATACCATAGTGGTACTGTCCATTTCCTCCTGCAGAGAGGCAGACAACATGAAGGAAAAGGAATAGCTTTTATTTTGTAACTTCCATAACTAGAACAATTTATTTGCTTTCTGTAAAATGATTTTTCTATTTGAATTTGCTGCCTTGTGTGAGGCACTCTTACTTCGTTTTGAAAGGTTATCACTATTACTAATGTCTGTATTTGCTGGTTCCAAGGTTTGAAACCAGTAAAACCACATTTATAGTACCTGTGCCTTTAAGTAATATACGTTGGCACACCAAAACAAAGTCAAGTGTATAATGTGCAACATGAACTTGCTCTAAATACATCAGATTAGTGAACAACGCAATTTTATAAATGTATGCATGAAATATTTTAACTGTATTTAGAGAAATATCACTTTTGCCTCACCTCAAACAGGGCCATGGTCTTGCCTTGGTAATAGTGTTCTTCATCATTGTCTGTGTCAAGGAATGGACTGGACTCCCTCTGACTGTCATCTCCTATTGAAACATAGAGGAGAAACCGCCATCCTGTAAGACCTATATTATTGCTAGAGTGACACCAAGACAACGGTCACAAGGTACTGTGTAATATCTGTAACAGCTGCAATGTAAGTTCTATTGCACCAGTGGTGCATCACTGTTGCGTTCATCATCATGTGGGTCATTAGGGTGTGGTGGTTAATAATAAATCAGATTCCAGAAGAAATATGTAATAGAACAGTATGTAGCTCATATAGACTTTATTTGGTATTAGCTTGTGTAAGGGAGAGCTGAGTGATTATGTGTTTATTAAGTTCATGTGAGGTGGACAATGGGCTTATATAAGTGGTTATATAGTTAATACTTAGAATCCTAGTTAAATCCCAAGTATGGCTCTGTTCCTTGGTGAGGGCCTCTGCCAGAACATTGGGAGTCAACCTTCCTGTCTTCTAGGAAGGCTGTAGAGGGTTTTCAGAATGGAGTGAGAAGTGGGGCCGATAGATGTCAAGATGGACAGAGTCCAGCTGTTGGGAAGTAGCTATTAAAGCTGATAAAGGAGTGAGCCTAGGAGAGAGGAGAGGACCATGCTGCAGTGAACAGTAGACGATGTACCTTTTGGGGACCCAGCCGGCTGGGGAAGATGCTGACTCAGGACTAATAACAAATGACCTGACTGACTGGTGCTTTAACAATCTTCTTAGGCTTTATCTATTCCATTGCAAGAGGAGAGTCTCTGTTCTCTGATCTCTGTTCCCTAACTACAAGATTATCTGTTTAAATACTACTCTATTCAGAATAATTGTAATATTAAATGATCCTTTAAATTGTAATGGTTTGTCTGAATTAAATTAGTTGATATCTCACTCTTGCCACGACAAGGGTCACATGATCCACACCTTGACTAATGTGATCCTAATGACCCACATGATGGCAGGATGGGGCAACAACTCACAAGTGACTTAATTCACCCTGAATGCATTAATGACTCCACAGACATTAAATAGCAGCGACTCAACACCAGTCGGTCAGAACTGGAGAAGCGTTTTGGATGAGATGTGAAACATCTTCAAGAATCTCTTGCAACTCTAGTTTTCAGCCTTAGAACTTAGGACAACCAAAGTAAACTAAGAGCTATGAAGGAGTGCATCCTGTGAAGCTCTGGATGGATCAGTGGATCATCATAAATGTTTTAATAAATAAAAATGCCATTATATAATGACTTCTGCCTCAAGTTTGTAATAAAATATCCTGATTCTGATATGTTTGAGTCAGACTCAAGTGTAATGTCTCCTTCCTCAGTGAGCTAAATGACTTCTATGTTAGCTTCGACCGGGACAACAAGGAGACAACTATCAATGCCAGACCCTCCACAGATCACCAGCCACTCACACTCACCTCCACTTACGTGCATGCTGCTCTGAGCCGGATCAACGTATGCAAGGCTGCTGGCCCTGATGGAATTCCTGGACGCGTGCTCAGGGCATGTGCAGGACAGCTTGCTGGCATCTTTACAGACATTTTTAACCCGGCCCTCGCCCAAACAGTTATGCCGACATGCTTCAAAGCCACATCCATTGTGCCAGTGTCAAGGATGCAGTCTCCATAGCACTGCACTCTGTACTCAGACACCTGGACAACAACACCTATGCAAGAATGCTGTTTGCGGATTTCAGCTCACTATTTAACATGGTCATTCCCTCCAAGTTAACCACCAAACTTGGTGACCTGGGCATCAGCACCTTCCTCTGCAACTGGATTCTGGACTTTCTGACCAACAGGCCTCAGCATGTTAGATCAGACAACACCTGCTCTTCCACCATCATCCTCAACACTGGCGTACCACAGGGTTGTGTGCTGAGCCCACTCCTCTACTCCCTTTTCACCCACGACTGCAGGCCTATGCATGGCTCCAACACCATCATCAAGTTTAGAGACACCACAGTGATTGGCCTCATCAGCAACAATGAAGACTCAGCCTACAGGGAGGAGGTACAACACCTGGATGTGTGGTGCGCTGACAATAACCTGCTCCTAACACCAATAAGACCAAGGAGCTCATTGTGGACTACAGGAGGGAGAAAGGAGGCACACACAACCCCATCCATGTTAGCGAGATGGTTGTTGAATGTGTCTCCAGCTTCAAATTCCTGGGGACCCACATTTCAGAGGATCTGTCCTGGACCACCAACACCTGCAGCCTGGTTAAGAAGGCTCACCTGCGCCTCTTCTTCCTGAGGACACTGAAGAAGAACCACCTGTCTTCAGCCATCCTGGTGAACTTCTACCATTGTACATCATACAGCAGATATGTACAGTAGTCATACCCTACATATCTTACTGTAAATATCATTTGTACATATCTATCGGTAAATTAGTTCTGACTGTTCAGACTGTAGTTACTGTGCACTCTGCACTGCTGTTATTGCAGTTCTGGTTAGATGCTAAACTGCATTTCATTGCCTTGTACTTGTACATGGGTAATGACAAAGTTGAATCTAATCTAATCTAATCTAATCTAAAAAACCAATATATTATACAGAATGTGGTACAACATAATTGAATCATTTGTCTGAGGAATTGTGACAGTCAAGTTAAAAACTTGTTTTTAACAGCATGTTTTTTATCAATGATTTTCCAAAAGTTGAATTCTATCAGACAAATGGTGTGAGGGGGGAAAAATCTTGATAAAAATATTATACTGATATTAAAACAAGCTTAATTATGTCTAGGAGAAACATTCTAGACAAAAGGTATTTAAAATAGTCCTTTCTTCTGGGCGACCGTCAAACTGGCTTGGTAAGGCATTGCACAAGTGACAGTCCAGTGAGACAGGAGTTATGGGAGACTTGACTAAAAATAAACTTCCTTTACAATGACTGCACAGGAGGAGTGCTTCTATCAGCAGCCTACCACACCATGCTGATACATTGGAAACAATGCTACATATAATGACTAACATCCGTTTCTGCTGTACAGCTGCTAGAAGTGCCTGGAAATGCCTCAAAGGAAAAACTTGTTGATCTAGGAATGAAAATGATGAACATCCTGACTTTGGGAAGTTTATTCTCATTGATTAACTTACCCAGAATGAATAGAAAGTTGTTCTAACCTCAAATCGTTTGCTGTTCCTCCATTTTAATAAAGGCAGAAAACTGATGCCAGGCTTACTTCCTCTCCACTTTTTCATTTTGTTCTAACATTTAATCAAAATGTTCACCACTTCTGCTTGTTTTTATACAGCTTTCCTCATTTTTGAATGAATATTTGATCTAAGACACCAAGGGCCAAGCATTAATGCCATATTTTAGTGCATTTTGAAACCTTGGAAAATAATAGTTCTGCAACAGCTGACACAATCCAAGACAGCATTCTCGAGGTAAGACACTTTTTTATTTTTCACATAACCTCAGATCTTTTCTAAAAGAATATATGCAAAACCTAACAACCTAGCCTTAGGAGTAATACAGCAAAAGCAGGAAGTGGAACAAAATGAAACACCATGCTAGTTATAGGATACTGCTTTGGAAAATGATGGTGCTGATTTGTTAATGTTTATACAGATGGCATCTCACCTAATCAGCACTGTCTGTGTAGTCATGGGTGTGTGTCCTTTTGAGTGCTGCATGTCCTGTGACCTCAGCCGTTACAGAGGTCTTATAAAAGAAGTTTGGATTTGAGGAAGTTTTGTTTAAATGGGGAAAAATGTGTGTGACATCAACAATTTACATGTTAAATTTTACTTATCATGAACAGTACTAGTCAGCCTGTGAAGAGAGGTTTATAAATCTTCTATGGCCATTAAAGGGACAGGTTGTAGAAAACACAACAGAAACTGTTGTTGACAGTCTCAGTTGAGATAGCAATGTGAAAAAATCTTTTTGCATTAATTTTCCTTATTTTGTGAAGTATTTTAGGGGTTGGTTTATGTTATAAGTTTTAAATCATGTCTTGATTTGTTTTTGTTTGTTTTTTTTAATTTTCGGGAGTTACTACACAAAATCATCATCCAGCTCAACAATCCCAGACACTTAAACTGAGACGCTGACACAACCTTTGAGGAAATTTCATTATTGCTTAAGGGGAAAAATGATCATATCCCATTGCAGCAGTCCTTGAGGCTCTGATTTTGAATACATGTATACACAGGTCACACTGACTTTTGAGAGAATAGTTTCTGGCTATCAAAAAACATCAACAACCCAGTCACTCACAGAATAACCCTGTATTCAAACTGAGATAAGTTTACAGATAACTTCAGGGAAGGCTGCCGCAAAACAATATGGACTATAGCTTCCTGCTTAGCAGGAACAGTCTCATTAAAACATGTAGCTGTTGAAATTTTTAGGAACCGACACTCACACAGTTTGCAGACAGAAGCAGTGTGGAATTTGACAAGAGCAGCTACTTGGCAAGTGAATACACAGGATTCTACTGGACTGTGTCAGATACTAATGCAAGTCAGTCTGTCTAAATGTAACAGCACACACAACCAAATAATTTAGTATCACATCATTACTCCCTCTGAAGTGTTTATGCACACACGCTAAGACGTGTAAGATGTGTTCTGTTGTTTAATGAACAGGCCTACCAGGTAAAGGCTCCAGGTCCCTTGAGCAGAGCCTGAGATGCAAACTAAGGCACTGAGTAAAACAACTAAAAGAGGTGCAAAACAAAAAAAAGACAGCATGACCACAAGCAGACATGAAAGAACCACAGGGATGCAAAGTGACCAGAAAAAGACATGGAACTACAGAGAGATGTAAAACAAAATAAACAAAATAACTACAGAAAGACACAAAATGATCAAAAATGCAAAATGACCTGGGAGATACAAAGGGATACAAAATAACTAGAAAGAGACACAAAATGACTACAAAGAGATGCAAAATGACCAAAAACACAAAATAGCCTCAAAGAGACAGGCAAACGCAACGAGCTGGGTGGAGAGAATCTCTTTTTATGTTTTTGCCCAGTCATAAATAACATTTGCAGTCTTTACTATTGCCTTAACATGGCACAAATAAGCAAGAAAGAGACAGAAGAGAAACAACTTGACTTGGAAAGCTCTGTGACATCTCACACACAGGGAGGTGCCATTACAAAACAGATGAAGTCTTTGTAGAAGCAGGTACACTGACCATGAGCTCCAGAGAGAGCAGACCTGGAGACTGAAGCTGAATGAGCCGTTACAGCAGCAAAAAGACAGCCATCAGCAACACCCTGAGGCAGAGAACAAATTCTGATGTTTAAAGGGTGAGAGAAGATCTGGATCTGATTCAAGGGCTGAGGAATTAAGTCTTTTGTTAGTTGGAGGGCCTGAAAACAAGACTGGAGGAACTGACAACCACCGACCTGGAGCTTACCAGCAAGGTCAAGGCTGTGGAAGAGGTCAGTCAGTCCCTGCACAGAGGAAGGAAGAGCTGAAGGAGCAGAAGGAGGAGTCCTTACCTGTTGTAAAAACTCTTGGATTTGTGCCAGATAATGGATAAGGAGAAACAAGAAAAGGAGGTAATCTCTCAGAGACTCCTGCACCAGTCAACAGCTATACATTGCATGGTGGCATGGTGCTCAGTCCCACAGACAAATCTCAGCTAGTCTTATGTTCATCCTTGTGCGGTTTCCTCCCGCACTCCAAAGTTAAGGATAAGGAGGGTAATCACCTTTATTGGCCAAGTATGTTACACACAAGGAATTTGTTTCCGGTACAGAACCAATGGCAGCCATCTGTGGCGCCAACTCAGCCGATGGCTCTAACCATTGGGGGCAACGGAATGGTTCAGTGTCTTGCCCAAGGACACTTCGACATGTGGACTGCAGGCACCAAGATTCAAACCTTTAACCTTCCGGTTGGGAGACGACTGCTCTACCCACCACACCACTGTCACATCCCCCTGTCAACTTTAAGCTGAACTGCTCCCAGTCAACTGGCTTTGTTGAATCTGTGCCCCAAACTGACCTCCCCATTAAAATAGTCTAAACCCACTGCGGTTCAGTAGGTAGAGCAGTTGCCTACCAACCGGAAGATCACCAGTTTGAATCTCGGTGCCTGCAGTCCACATGTCGAAGTGTCCTTGGGCAAGACACTGTAATAATAACTTTTGCAGTTTGGTAAAGTTAAGCTAAATCAATCATTTAAATGTATTAAATATGAATGAATTCTTTTTCCTGGTCCCAGTATAAATATTATTGTAGACAGACACCTAGCAAAACAGGGATACAAATAATGTTGATCATTTACAAACCCAGCTCTTTATCTGGGTATGTAAATAGTCTACATTAAGTTTATTTTCTTAGGCAAGTTCGACAAACAAGAGAGCTGAAGAAGCAGTGTAAAGAATTTTAAGCGTTATGTACTGCAGGTTCTAATCACTGCAAACATTTTGGAGGGTACTATAATCAACTAGTATAAAATGAAACATTGCAACATTTCTACTTTCTTTTTGTCAGCCAGCATGAAAACAAACCTATTTTTAACAACACCACAGCCTCTCTATTACTCTGTATTTGTAGGTTATATTCTTTTACAATAGTCCTTCACTACAATCATGAAGCAACCATCAATTATTAACACTGACATCAGCAACAACAACACAGTTTCTCTCCCCTCCAACACTAATCTTGCTGTCCTGCAAGTTCTAGCTAGTTGAACAGTATCATACTTAGAAACGTATGTGCCTGCCATTACATGTATCTGCCTGTTTGTGTCAGCATGCTTTTATTTGTACGTGTTCAATTATATACAGGTTAAACATTTTAAGCCTTAAATTTTGCCCAGTGCATGCTGGGATTGGTTTTGGCTACCCCAGCATTCTAAACAGATTTAATAAGGTATTAAAAGTTGACCTCCATGAGCATGCATGTGTCTGTACAAGCCAAAATAAATGCATGGTCTTACGATGTGTTCCTACCCATGTGAGAGCCTTGGAAGTTGTTCTCATCGTCTTCCTCCTCAAACCCTTTGCCACCTCCAGCTGTAGCCATGCTGCTGCTGCCCTCCTCTGTATCCTCCACAGGCACTACGGTGAAGTTAGTGGGCATCTCAGGTTTTTACTTGCCCACAAGAAAGTATGAAGAGGGCACGAGTGACGATACCAGGATGGAACTAGCTGCTGAACTTTCACTCCCACTAGGATGAGTAAAAAAGTATCTAAAGGAAGTCAGATGAAAGACATGAAGTCCTGTGAGGGCTCTGGTGAGGAAAGCTGAAGATTCAGCTCGACTATAACATGGTACTCACTCCAGATCTGTTGTTTCCTTTGTCTTTGTAATGTGATCCTGTGGGTTTTAAACTCAGGGTAAAAGTGCTGCCTCCTGCACATGAGGCAGATCAAAGTTCTCCAGTGAATCTCCTCTCTCTCTCTCTCTCTCTCTCTCTCTCTCTCTCTCTCTCTTTCCTTGTTCCTTTTCCCTCCCTTTTCTCCCCACTGCTCTAAGAGTGTTGCCCCATGTGACCACTATTTACCATTCAGAGCTGGAAGGTATACACAGAGAACCCTGGAGCTCCTCCCTCTTTTCTGACCGTCCCACTTAGCTCACACACACCTCTGGAATGCCAAAGGGTAAAAAAAAAAAAAAAAAAAAGAAACTAACTCCAAAACATCTGTAGACGTAGCCTAAGTATCTCTATCCAAATCCAAAAAGAAGGTACTGGCTTATATTTAACAAACATGAACTCAGCACGCTCTCCTTTCTTGTCTGTTCTTCTGGCTTTGGTTATGTTTCCTCCTCCCCTTCAGTCTGTTCCCTTTTTGGTTTCCTCCAGGTATATAAAATGGGTGTTGCCTTTCCCACAATGCACTGTGGGAAAAGCAACACCCACTACCCACAGTGCACTGTGGGTAGTGATGTAGTGCTGACGTTGAGCTCAGAATAGCACTACACACTTTCATATGCGCACACATTGTGCCAGCAAAGGAAACACCTTGAAAACCTTGGATGCTATCTTTCCTCTGTATTCTCAGTACCAACATACTATAGATTACAATAGACAATCAACAGGGGAAAAGGAGCAATGAATAACAATGGGCACAATTAAACTTGAATAGCTAGAATAATTAGAAAGTTTCCCGTTTGTGTGAATGGTCATTTCATTGGCACTCTTACATAAAGGTTTTTTTAAACAATGTGAGCAGACTCAATTTGAGAGTGCCACTTTTGTTGTCAGGTTCAATCCTAATGTAGAATGGGGCTTCCTTTTTTAGCATAACCTGATTCACAGCAAATTATGTTATTTCCACTTTTTATAAAAAGGTTGCACTATATAATCCTCCTGTAGATGTTCTAATTTTTCCATTGTAATGTTTTTCACTTAACCAAATGGCAAAATCTAACAAAAGTTTGGGATAATAAAATACTAGCTTGGAGCAAAAGCATATTCATATAGTATGGCTTAGCTAAGTCATAGACTGTCTTAACTTTGTTTATGTTATTCTGCTTTAGTACATGTATTTATAATAGCTTGGCTGTACCATTGCCAAAATCCTACAGAATAATTTAGTTATTAAAATTGTCTTCTGTGGTTTTGTACATCAGCTCTCAATGTGCAAACAGTAAACCAGCATAAGGCTGTGTAATATAACAAAATAAGCAGTATTAACAGGAACATTGACAGCAACAAACAGTGGTTTTGAGGTTTACTTTAATGTTACCAAAAATGTATCTAGAGGAGTTCATTCATTTGGGTCTTGGTATATCTAAAATGCTGAGGTTGATAACTGGACAATACCTTTAACCAACACCAGTTGCCAACCTTAGAACTTTGGAAATACCCCAAATAGTTTGAATAATTATTTTTTCATAAATATCTGAAAGCAATGAAAGATGACCATTTTTTGAGGAATTATCTTGAAATTTTATTTTCAAGAGGAAATACAGTATCATGATTTGCCCTTGGAAGGGCGGATGGATTTCAGGCCGTTTTTCAGTTTGTCAATGTGAACTCAGTGTATCTCTAAACTAATGTCACCATCTCACATTCCTGCATAATTACTGTGACCGATGCTCTTGTTTAGTCTCTTCACAGACCTCACAGAGGTATGACTTTGTGTGTGAAGGTGCATGTGCTTGGCTCAGGAAGACAGGATTATTTTGCCTTGGTCCCTGATACTAAGGGCAGAGACATACCAAACTAGCAGCGATGAAGGCCAACCTCTGAGTCGATTCATGTGTGCTCTTAACAACAGAAGCTCCTGAGACTCATGTTGTCTCCACATTCGTTGGCATCTTCATTGTAAATGAAGATGTTTTTTCTTCATTAGTGGATGCCTGTGTTCTTCCAGGTTCATGCTGGTCACATGATAAAATGCCATCAACCTGCCCACTAGCTCCATGTGAATACTGATGAAGTGCCAAAACCTGCAGTTTCTCGAATGGCCACTAGAGATTGGTTCCAAAACAGTCCCAATAGACTCCCATGTTAAAATGCTCAATTGTAACGCAGAAATAAACAACCAATAGACTCCCATGTTAAAATGCTCATTTTTAACGCAGAAATAAACAAGTTTACAGACTGGTACAAAAAACAGTTTTGATCTCCATAGCTAATTTCACCTTCCATGACAACTGTACAGGGGCTAAATCTTTTATAACTTGCCCATTTAATTGTATTGAGATTAAAAGTTATGCATAATTAAGAGTGTGGCCACTTTGATAGGGGGAGGGCCCCGCCATAGGTGGCTGGCCACTAGCTGTCTAATGAGCTCCACACACGCTTCACCTCTTTGCCCAGTTTTGGATCAGGCATAGCAGGCGGAGTAAACCACTACCAATATGGTGACAACCAGACTTGACCTTCAAAACCACTTTTCAGGAAACCAGTGCACGATGTCAAGGTGGGTTTGTCTATCTTTTACATACAGTCAGTGGTATTTGCCATTCAGAAAGGCAAAGAAGAAGAGCTAAAATGTGGCTGTATAAGCTATAAACAAAGCACCTCTTGTTCAAAACAGCTGCTGTTTATAGCTGCTTCTATTGTGATAAGAAGTTACAAATGGCACTGCTCTTCTCTGCCCTTTGTCTTTTTGAAGTGGAAGAAGAAAAGAGGTTGTGGAGGCAAAAACCAAAGAAACTACACTAAATGGATGAAATCATGGATACTACAGTGACAGGCTGAGGGGGCTTTCCCAAACGGTTGTCTTCTGGTGCACTAATTTGCTATAAATGTCAGGTTTGGTAGGTGAAACTGCCAAATAATGTTTGTAGTGAACTCAATTATAGGTTCTTTATAACAGTACAAGTTCAGAATCAAAATCAGGTCGATAATACAGTTCGAGGTCAGCGCCGGTAAACATCAACAGCCAAGAGATCCACAAGAGAGAGGTCAGGGAGGAGATATCAGCGGGTCGGTAAACAGCAGGCAATCAGAATCTGGGGGGAACAAGGCAAACATGGTGGTCAACAGACAATCCGAGGTCAAAACAAGATAGTCAGGCGGGCGGGAGGGAGGAAGGAAGGAAGGAAGGAAGGAAGGAAGGAAGGAAGGAAGGAGAAGAGGAAGAGGAAGAGGAAGAGGAAGAGGAAGAGGAAGAGGAAAAAATGCTAGAAAGTCAGAGCTTAGGTCTAGAACAATCTGGCAACCTCCTGGTGTGGGGAAGTTGCCTATATGCTTGTGTGGCAGGTGTTGCCAATCTGGGTGATGAGATGCAGGTGAAAACAATACCAGCTGATTAATGTAAAGAGTCCAAAACTGAGGTGACCCAAACAGGAAGTACTTCCAAAATAAAAGCCTGGGACTGGAGCTGGAGGGACAGAGTCCTGACAATAAACTCAAGAGGACTGATCTCTTTGTCACGGACGAGGCCTGACTGTCGACACCAATTCAACATATCAAATTGTTTGAAAAGCTGCTGACAAAGACCAACTAATGCAAACTGTGTGGGACACACCGGGAGGACAAGACGCTCATCGATGGCCCAATGGTGGCTGAGCGTCAGAATATAACAGGTGTGTCTCTACCCTAAAGTAACATTCACATTATAGAATTTATTACTCAATTACATTTTTTGTCAGATCATTCTGTGTTGTTCACATTCATGATTGTAAGTAACATAATGACTGTTTTCCTGTTGTGTTGATTGTTATGTAAGCTATTAAGTATGAGTCAAAGACATTAATGGACATGTTAGCTGATCAATGCTTATCTACAGTTTTAAAATAATAATCAGTGTCACTCCAAACAAACAAACAAAAACATGTATGCCCTCAGGTGTAGTGTGAACTTTCAGATTTAATTGTAATGTGGGACAGTTGAGTTATAAACTTGAGTGGCATAGCTCAGCTCATGGTTACATCCATGTCCTTCCACTTTGGTTTGAATAGAGAAATGGTCAACACTTCCCCTATGGGATGGACTGTGAAGTGCCAGTACTGATGGCGACAGGCAATATGTGTGTGCAGAGAAGTGAGACACTAAAAGAAAAGGTGGTTGCATCAGTTTTGGGGAGGTAACTTTTGAAATAGGTTACAGTTTAAATATTATCCTGTTAAAAATATAATAAGTAATTATTACTTCATGAAAGCAATGTAACATTACTTTTAATTACTTTTTGATTATTTTTGTTAAAAAAAGGGTTTAAACTAAGCAATAAAGCTGAAAATTCCTAACATAATTTTTATCCAGGCAGTGTAACCTTCAGAACAGTACTCAACAGTTATGACTGTCAAACTTTTATTAAAGGTTCTTCAACAAACCTTCAACAAATGTATTACTGTTGAAACATGTAGCCTACTGAACAGGCACCGAGCAAACCCTTTTCTGATTTCAGATGGAAAGTACTATTGAATTCCAGCAGTGAAAAGCAGTCTTGTCTGACAATATGGCAGATCAGGTGGCTTAGAGCAATGTGTGTTGATTTGATTGACAGACAAAAAGTGTTGTAAAGTCAAACAACAGAACCAATCAAAATCAAATTTCAAAATTTAGCACATACTACCAAATGAATAGAACCTATCTACATGTAGAGACAGCTCCTTTTAAACCATCCTACCCGTGATGATGTTGCACTTAAATTTGTCTTAAAGGCTTTCCTAACCCACGTTGTTCAGGAAGAAGGCATTCTGCACAGCAAAAAGATGCAAAGCAACAAAATGAATGCTATTCAAAGCTTTTTACCCAAAAGAATATATTTAGGTGTGACTTCTTTCACGTTTTGTCAACATTTTGATTAGTAACTGTAATTTAATCATGTTTTCTCAGTAATTTCATTTATTTTGTAATTTACTTACACTGAATACAGTAATTACATGCATCTAGTTACTTCCAACATGTCCATGAATCGAATAGGACCACAGATGCAAGTGCCCGAGACCTGCTATAAAAATATTTGCTTTGTTTGAAAAAGAAAAGAAAGATCTAAGTTATTTGGAGATGTAAAAAAAAAATAAAAATCTGATTTTGGCCACAAGCATGCAACGTGAATGTAAGTATATTTTACTTATGTGCTACAACAGTAACTTTCTGTTCTGTTTATGTCTATATCTCTGTTTGTGTGACCTGAGAATTGAAACAAAGTTTAAACTAAACTCAGCTGACTAAAGTGATTTTGAATAACTAACTGGAATATAGCAAACCTGGTCAGATGTTAGCTTAGAAGATTAAGAACCAGTTCCTAGGCCTATAGTTCCAAATTGTTCAACCTTGTGAACATTTCTTATGAAAACTATTCTATTAAAAGTAGAAACTGGGAAGACTGGTGAAAGAAAACATGGCTCATGTTTAGCCAGCAGCC